GCATTATCGCCACCTGAGGTGTGTTTTGAGGTTTCTATTTTGCAACCAATCGTTTCCAACGAAACTCCATTTCGCATACCACACTTATTCTAAGCTTATTTAAATGAACTTTTAAAACAATTGTATGGGTCAAGGCTTTTATGACATCCACAAACCTGTGCCTTATCGCAGTGTCGTAAGTGACATATTGTAATATTTTAAAGAAAATTTGTTAAATACAAAAATTATGACTATCTGGTATTAACCCGTTTTCTCAAGCAGCAGCAACAACAAAAGCAACAGCAACGCCACAGAATGTCAATTCAAATATAAATACCATTTCAAATGCCGATAAGAGAGACGCGTTGCATTAAATTAATACATCAAACAGCCATTGAGAGATGCAAAGATGCAAATAAATACGGCATTCAAGCGGGCTCACTACTTACTTACATACATGCGCGTAGATGTGGGCCTGGTCAAAGTCAACTACGTAGCGCGATAAGTTAATGAAACGACCGACGAACAGAGTTAACACATTAATGCTTGAACACACAACATTCGGAGGCCAGCCAACACCAACCTCCAGCCTCTCCCATTTGCGCATAAATCAAATGCGATCGTATATCAACGCATGGAAATGAAATATGTACACAAATATTTATACATTTAGAATATGCAGTTACAGATATATTCATAACAGATGACTTTATGCTTGCACGGGGCAAGGTAATTTGTCAAAAAAGATCCTACGATGTAATCAACGCCATTTAATTAGGCGGCGGAGCCAAATGCATTGGCGTGGAGCACAGCTAATATTCCTTAACGCTAAACATAATTTTCTTATTAACAATGCTTTCTTTCAGAAAAAAANTCTGAGATCAGTGTGTGCGAAATTTTACAGCACTCTGACGTTTATTCACTAGTAACCGTGTTTAAGTAATTTCGAGAACTGATGGCAGTCTTACGAGCACACCTTATTCATCTCTCACCCTCGATGGAGGCTCTGGTGATGATAAAGCTCTCCTATTCTACCTTGGATCGTTAAGTTTTTGAGCGTCGCATCAATACTAAAAATCATATTTCGTTTTATTTCACTGATTGTGAGCATTATCGCCACCTGAGGTGTGTTTTGAGGTTTCTATTTTGCAACCAATCGTTTCCAACGAAACTCCATTTCGCATACCACACTTATTCTGAGCTTAATTAAATGAACTTTTAAAACAATTGTATGGGTCAAGGCTTTTATGACATCCACAAACCTGTGCCTTATCGCAATGTCGTAAGTGACATATTGTAATATTTGAAAGAAAATTTGTTAAATACAAAAATTATGACTATCTGGTATTAACCCGTTTTTTCAAGCAGCAGCAACAACAAAAGCAACAGCAACGCCACAGAATGTCAACTCAAATATAAATACAATTTCAAATGCCGATAAGAGAGACGCGTTGCATTAAATTAATACATCAAACAGCCATTGAGAGATGCAAAGATGCAAATAAATACGGCATTCAAGCGGGCTCACTACTTACTTACATACATGCGCGTAGATGTGGGCCTGGTCAAAGTCAACTACGTAGCGCGATAAGTTAATGAAACGACCGACGAACAGAGTTAACACATTAATGCTTGAACACACAACATTCGGAGGCCAGCCAACACCAACCTCCAGCCTCTCCCATTTGCGCATAAATCAAATGCGATCGTATATCAACGCATGGAAATGAAATATGTACACAAATATTTATACATTTAGAATATGCAGTTACAGATATATTCATAACAGATGACTTTATGCTTGCACGGGGCAAGGTAATTTGTCAAAAAAGATCCTACGATGTAATCAACGCCATTTAATTAGGCGGCGGAGCCAAATGCATTGGCGTGGAGCACAGCTAATATTCCTTAACGCTAAACATAATTTTCTTATTAACAATGCTTTCTTTCAGAAAAAAAGAAATATGGGAATGTTAAGGTAAACAAAGGACTAAATACCTTACTGAACAAAAAAGAATAAATAAATGAAATAAAAAGAAAAAAACTCTGGAAGCTATGTGTATAACACCTGTATGCTTACCAATAACGCGCAACCGGATTCACAAATGACTGTGGCGGAGTTGGGAGCGGTGCGGTAGTGAAGTGGAGTCAGAACAGAACAAATTGAATTGCTTGATTGAAAATGAAAAGCTTGTTTGTAAGAATTCCTAACTAATTTACATGTGTACGCGCCTGAATACCAATGGCGACACCTAACAACGTTACTTAGGCCAGCGCAAACGGCCAACGGATAGCAGCTAGTTTGTGCTGATGGGCCACTGAGAGTGGAAAGAAAGTCGAGCGACGGTGCACAAAGACGACCGCAGCGAAAAAATGCAGCTCATTAAAAAACTATAAATTCCGTTGATTTTTCTACGATTGTTCAGCAAACAAAGCTACAGGCAAAAGTGGATAGCAAGCAAGAAAGCTATAGCAAAACTAGAAGCCAATAGGCGGTACGGAATCGAACCCCACTGCGATTGGTGTTGGGGGACCGCCTGCGCGGCACAAATAAAAACACAACAGAACAGAAACGTCAACTGTGCCGTCATTATTACGCTTGTTTTTTTCTCTAGTTTCCACAGTTTTTGAAAGCCACTAATAAAAGTGACCAAAACAGCTAAGATTATGCTTAGTCTAAAGAAAACCGTTCTAAGCCCAGCTTTATGTACGCACACAAAATGCCACGCAGACAATACCAACTGGTTGTGAAGGCCTGCTGAACGGCCGCTGCGCTAACACATTTCCACATTCGTGAAATTCTTTGCCAACCGGCCATAAGCCTGGGAAAAAATTGCTGCCACCTGGTTAGTGGTTTACAAAATAAGCGATTATTTTGCGGGTGCCTTAAGTGTTGCTATAGTCTATACGCATGCAGTAGTAATGAAAAAACGCATCCCGCGCTTGCGCACAAGTCACTAATCACCACTCTGCAATGTCCGCGAGTAGCACAACAGTTTGTCTGTCGACCAGTTCAACAAGTGTCTGGCGGGAGCAAGCGCGCGAGCGACCCGCTCAACTTGGCTACTCGCGGCTGTCTCGCTTGGTAATTTGTCAAATTGTTTAAATACAAATTTTGTGCGTTTGACACTTTACGGATTATTATTTTTTTTGTAACTAACTCTTTTAGATATGCATTTTCCAGCACCTTGATTTTGTGGCATTTATTTACTTGGCATTGCGTGTGTGCCACCTTAAAATCGCTTAATTCATTTATATTCCTCGTCGGCAAACTAGTTGCGCTTACCAAAGATTATCAGCAGCTGTTGCACTTATTTTTCAAGATTCGATTAAGGCAAATGCTTTCAAGAAATATTCGTAATTTGATATCAAGATAAGGCGGCGTTCGAATTGGACATATTTGGGATACGACAATTTTAATGAGATTTTAAGTTGCTAATAATATTAAAAATAATCAAAAATTTGTCAATACTGGAAAACGTTGAAAACTTGTAGTAGGTCAGTTATTGAGAAAATTTACCAATAACTTTAATAATTATATGTAATCCATGCAATTGATTTGCACTGCGCCACTTTACCCAAACCATATATTTCTATTACAAATAAAAAAATGCTTAAGTCGATCTAAGCGTAACGATAAAGACTTTCGGTTTTTTTTGTAGAAAAATAAATCACTTTAAAGTGAGCATCGCATAATTTCTTATTTCTTTGTTTATGGAATTTGTATCGCCCACAAATAGTTAAGCTGAAGCTATTTCGAATAACGCAAAACTCAACAAAGAATGTTTACAAATAGAAAACACTGTTAACTGTAAACATTTGGGCTCTCTAGTGGGGATTTATTTCAAGAAGTGCTACTTCATTAAGGTGTGCTTATCTTTCAAACCTTAAGTATACCTCGTGCTCATTTTCAGTAATATAGCAAAAAATAAAAATTACAAAAAGCACATACTTAGGAGGCTCAAAACATGCACCTTGTAACAAGTATAGTCAGGTCTAAGGTCTAGTTTGTAGTCTATGGTAGGCTTTTATACACAGACAGTTCATTTTTTCTCCAAAAACACATTCGAAATTAATTCAATCAATGAACTGAAGATAGCACTTGTAAAAATGGTTCCCACTTCTGCTTCATTGGAAAGAATAAAGCTTCCTATTATTTGGGAATATAATTTATAACCGACTTTAAAAAAGGAGGAGGTTATCAATTTGTAGGAATTTTTCTTTTTTTCGTTGATGTATGTTACCGGATAACTTTGGACCATGTGAACCTTTTTTTATTGGTATTTCAGTTCCATACATTGGATCATGAAGAAATTAACGCTACTCCCAAATGGGCATTGAAGTCGGTTGTTTTTTTTTTACTTAAAAATTTCTTGTAATGAAACAATTGCCTTGACATGCTCTGTACTACTTATATCTCTCTATCAATCCACATATGTTTGGAGCATATTTCTGATTGTGTTGTGTTGATAGTTTTAACAATGTCAAATTTGAGACCTATGCCACCATCAAAGCATCAACTTTGCAATTTTTCAAAAAGTTTAGGAGTAAAGTTTTCCATTTCGATTTACGAAAATTTATTGCTGAATTAACACCTCATTTTTAGCTGTTGGGTTCAATATAATTGTGTATCTCCTTTTAGCCTTCTCTTGTTTCGTCTTTCCCTGTTCACTCTCAAGAAAAATGTCCCTTCTGAACCCAGGGACACCGGCCTTTACCTCGTGTAGAGCGTGCAATTCTCAACTGGTATACAGTTTTCTGTTAGACTTTCGCTTTTGCTGAATTCCATTAAATTCAATGTCACTGGATCTTATCCTACAGATGAAAATTGGTTTTCTCTTTGACCCATCAACGAAACATATAAGAAGACACCTGGATGTAACTCTATAAACGCCCCTACTTTGAACCATGATACCATTAAAACATCTTTTGATGCGTTTTCCAAGTATCACAAACCATTCTTTCCAGTTTCCTCAATATGCCCATCATCTCGCACCCACATTTAACCTGCTTCAGCAATTTTAATAAAAGACAACTACATATCTGTATTGTACTATAGTCATATCATATTTATTATGATTTCTTTTCCATTCATCATTATCATCATCATCGCCTTGGTCATTATCATCATTATCATTCGTATAGTTATTCACATTGTGATTAGTATTAGCATAATTTAAGCTACGAAAAAAACGTTTATGATTAGCAGCAAACAAATGCTCATAAACATTATCAATATTATTATTAATATTATCGTTATTTGCAGCATGCACATTTTCGTCATCATCATTACCATCATGGTAATTAGCATCAATAACATTTTGATTATCGTAATAATTATATGCGCGTGCTAAATGAATAGCAAAAGCTACATTACCAGCAGCAACAGCAGCAGCAACATTAATTTCATTGTTATTAATATTTATATTATTAACAGCTTGTTGTTGTTGCGTTTGAAAAGCATTCGCATTAGCAATAGCATTCGCATTGGCATTTATTTGATTAGCATTAGCTTCTTCTTCATCTACGACATCCATATTAATGTTGTTGTTAATAGTATGCATAATATTACTGTTATTATTGTTAGTGTTGTTGTTATTGATGCTATGTTGACGAAAAAACGGCAGGCGTANTGCATTCGCATTGGCATTTATTTGATTAGCAGTAGCTTCTTTTTCATCTACGACATCCATATTAATGTGGTTGTTAATAGTATGCATAATATTACTGTTATTATGGTTAGTGTTGTTGTTATTGATGCTATGTTGACGAAAAAACGGCAGGCGTATACGAAAAAAAATACGCTTAACATTATTGTCTTTTTTTACATCGTCAACAGCAACAACTCCAGCACTCACTTGCTCGCCTTTATCTTTATAATTTACCTTCTTAATATTACTATTAACACTAACGTTATCAATTATACTTTTATTATCTCCGCTATTGGTATTCGTATTTATATTCGCATTTATTATATTCGTTTTTGTTTTTTTATTCGTATTCGTATTCGTATTATACTCTTTTGTTTGGCGCTCGAAACTCGCTGCGGTAGTGATTACTTCCGCGGCAGCTTCTTCACTGCTTACCAAATCTGTTTGTTGCTGCGCGTGTTGATCTAGCAGGTGTTGCTCAGCAACATGCCGATCGTTAATATTATCAGCAACATCGTCATACGCCTCAGCGTGTACGCTGTCGGCGCGTTCGTCATGAGCTGTTGCTGCCTCAGCTTCGTTTGTGGCCTCGGTTGCAACAGCTCGTCGATACCTTCGTCTACTACTAGTATGGCTAAGTGCTTGCTGTTGTTGTTGATGTTGTTTTTGACTAAACTTAGAGTTACTGTTACTACTATAATCAGTCATACTAGGGTTAATACTATCGCTATGGCTACTTATTTGACTACTACTACTTTTTCTACTCCTATTGCTGCTGCTGCTGCTACGCCCATTGGCGGCGCTATGACTACCATTTTTCGCAGCTGGCTCTTCATGCTCTCCGCCAGCAGCTTCACTATGCGCTCTAGCATTGCGGTTACTGTAATTGTTATCATTATCATCCTCATCATCAACGTGACTATGAACATCATAATCGGTGCGCTGATGAGTGTTCTCGTATAAGTAGTTTTTTGGCAAGGCAGGTATTGCATTAACATAATTATTAACATTAACATTATCATTACCGTTATTAGCATTAGAATAAGTTTTTAATTTATAATTACTATTTAAATTACTATTAACATAACTATTTGAGTATTCATGTGGTTGCTGTTGCTCTATTGGCTGAGCCTGCGCCTGCGCAACTTTCTCAGCAACATGTTGCGCCGCGCTCACTGGTTCAGCGGCCGCGTCTAACGCCAGCGGCCGCAGCTGATGATGATGATGCCGATGCCTGTGCCACGGCTGCACCTCCATCTCATTTCGCACACCACTCATCCCACCAGCCGTGGCAGCACCCAGCGCTGCCTGACCCTGCGCTCTCGCCTTCGCCTGCTCCTCCTCCCCGTCCAGCGGCAGCCATTCCGTCCTTCGCTTCTTAGCCACCACATTTTCGCCCATCACGGGTTGTAAGGTTGTTTGTGATACCGCTATTTGCATGTCGGCGGACGCGTGTGTCGCGCTATGCGCTCGGCTACCCGTTCTCGCTGCCGCCGTCGTTGCATTCTCGTTTTCTTCTGCGGTGGCTTCCTTTTTCCGCCGCCCGCGCTTACGTCGCGAAGCTGCCAGCATGGCCATAATGTCGATTAGTGTTGTGGGCACCAACGAGGCGGCAGTGGCTGTGAGTGCAGAGGCCGCTGTGGAAGCGGTAGAACTAGCCGCTTCGCCCGCGCCACGCGTCGGTGGCGGTGTCTGTTGCCGTTGTTGTTGCTCGTGCCGCGCCAGCACTTGCTGTCGGTGACGACTCTGTTTGCGCAACAATTGCTCGCGCTCATGCTGGCGGCGTCGCGCCATCTTTGTGCTGTTGTTGTGGTTTTGGCGCACCAGATTCTTTGCCTGCAAATTGTGTTGGTTCTGGCGTTGCTTGCGCCGATTCTGCAAACGTCGCCGGCGGTTTTTATTTCTAATACTGTTGCCGTCGTGACGCAGTGGATGCTGCTCGGCGCCATGTAACTTCCGCAAGCGCTCCTCCAGCAAACCGGCTGAGGGCTGCTGCTGCTGCTGCTGCTGCCTCTGTGGAACATTGTGGGTACTCTTGTTGTTTTTGTTGCTATTATAATCGTTTACACTACTATCCTCGTTATGACTATGTTTATTGTTATGTTTATCATTAGTAATACTCTTTGCAGCTTCTGTATGCAGTTCTTCTTGCAGTTGTTGCTGCGGGCGCTTCAGCCCAACGGAGGGCTTCAACGCGTGGCTATTGTCATTGTTGCTGTTGTCATTGTGGTTGTGGGCTATGTTTCTATTGCGTTGGATGCGTGTGGCTTTGGGTGTATGTGTTGTTGTTGTGGTGGTAGTGGTGCTAGTCGTAGTGGTGGTGGTGGTGGTGGTTGCTGTGGTGGTGCTTCTACTAGTGATAATATCTGCCAAATGTCGTCGCTCAAAGAGGAAGTGATCCTTGCTGATGCTGTGCGAATGCCGCAGCCGCTTTGGACCAATGGGCTTGAAACGCTTCGTGAAACCGACACGCAGGGTTGCATTGTAAGCATTCGCGTACATGTAGTGGCCATGTTCCATTGTCTCACTAAAGTGACAATCTCGCGTGAGCTGTTTCTATATGGATGAAAAAAGGAAGATAGAGATACAGAAAGGCAATTAAATAAATGGTAAACCTTGAGAGTTAAAAAGTGAGAAATAAGCGAATTTATGGCTGTGAGAAATCATGACCTTATAGAATGTTTAAGATAAGATATTGGCTCCAAAAATAAGTAACAAAAATAACTGCCATTAAAATCCACTTCAACTCGAGGCTCTCGAAAATCTCATAACTATTATTTATGNAATAGAATGTTTAAGATAAGATATTGGCTCCAAAAATAAGTAACAAAAATAACTGCCATTTAAATCCACTTCAACTCGAGGCTCTCGAAAATCTCATAACTATTATTTATGTATATCTACAATATCTTGTCTGGCTGCCTTTTGAATGCCACATATCAATCAAAACTTTAAGTCCATATCTACGTCATTGGAATTTCCAACGCTATGTTATTAGTAAATGCATACACACTGGTGTGCAATTAATTATTTTTTATATGTTGTCGTTCAAGAGAAAATATATTTTATGCTGATTAATCTTTCGACTGTCAAGAAAATGTGTATTTTTGGACACCCTTAAATTGCTAGCTTAATTGAGAGTCACTTTAATATAACTACTATGCGCAATACTATACTAATCAATACTTTAGAAGTACTTGTTTACTTCTCATGCTAAAATTGGGAAGTGAACAAGAATGTAGTGACATAAACAGAAAGAAACGTTCTCGGAAAGTTGAGCTTTACATTTTTTTTCAAATTTCTAATAGCTTTTTTCGAAAGCTTCAAAATGTTGTTTAAAATTTTTCCACGAAGGTTTTTATGTATGAAGTTTGAGGTATGGAGAGTTTGGATACTTCTTAATTTTTATTTGAAAACGTGTTTTTTTTTTAATGTTTCGCCCTAAATATATACATGTACTTGAAAAATCATTACCTCGTATTAAATTACATGTTGGAGAGTTTGGAGAGTTTTTTGTTTTAAAAAAATTAAATAATCTTTTTCGAAATATTTAGCCAAAATTAACGTTAAGGCGCAAACAGATAAACTTAAAAAGTTGCTTAAAGTCAGTTTATCTTCATGAAAATAGAAAATTGGACTTATTAAAATATTAATATTTTAAACTTCTCTTAAACATTTTTTTTTTCATCATTATTTAAACAAATGTTGTTTGTATGTGGAATGAACTTCTAAAAAATTCACAATAAAAATGCTTAATAAACTTACCAGTCCCACTAATCTGCCACGCCGAAAGCACAAGAACAGCCCAACTTGTTTGGCATAGAGCGTTATAAAGAATGGATCGCCATTGAATGGATCACCAACTATATCCATGGTTAAGGGCTCTGTAAGAAGATTTAGAAAATTTAATTAAATGCGAGTAAAGTTGGCCTACATTTTTTTAGATTTTCAAACTTAAGCGTAATTTAAACTTAATTTAAATTCTTAAAATAATAACCACACACTCTTTCTTTGCATAATAAATAAAATGCTGTATAAAGGCAAGTGTATGTATATAATGTTATAAAAATACGCGATAAGCTGCATACCTCTTTGTTTTGCAGAAAATGATAAGTTAACTGCTAGTCAAAGAAATACAAATAAGTGAAGCAAATACCACTGAAAGCTAAATTGCCTTATCCTTGAAATGCTTTTAGCTTAACTGTTGTTGCAAAATCTTAAAAAAATCAAAACGTTAATTTCTTGGAAATAGGCAAAACTATAAGTGTTTAGGTTTAAAGCACCGAATAATTTTTTCTCATATTCCGGNATGTATGTATATAATGTTATAAAAATACGCCATACGCGAGGTAAATATGCACCACCTCTTTGTTTTGCAGAAAATGTTAAGTTAACTGCTAGTCAAAGAAATACAAATAAGTGAAGCAAATACCACTGAAAGCTAAATTGCCTTATACTTGAAATGCTTTTAGCTTAACTGTTGTTGCAAAATCTTAAAAAAATCAAAACGTTAATTTCTTGGAAATAGGCAAATCTATAAGTGTTTAGGTTTAAAGCACCGAATAATTTTTTCTCATATTCCGGCGGTTACTCACTACTGCATTTCTATTGGCACAAAGTGCTCATACAAACAAATATTCCATGAAGACTGCAACGATCACAGTTTATTAATAATTGCCATACGTATTAGCTAAAATATTTTAGTGGCTTAGTGGCTTAGGTACGCGTGAAACTAGAGCCAAACCTTATCGATACAAATCTTTTTACGGCCGCAGTAAAATGCACTTCAAATTAAAATATTACGTATACGCCATGGAGTCGCCAAATGGACACCCAGGCGGGCAGCAAAAGTAATGCACAGTAGATTAAGTTCTTGGAATCACGTTTAATTGCTATTGTTCAACAGAGATAATGACAGAGTTATGGAACAGAGTCAAAGTGAAGCAGAATACTAATTTATTGGTGCTTTAGTTAATATCAGTGAGTGTTTGCAATGAAATCAAAGGCAATTAAAAGTTAATTGTGTAACACATTTATTGTAATCTCTAAAGAAAATTGCGTTTTATTTTACTTTCGAGAATTTTTATTTTTGGAGACTTTGAATTTTTTGAATTACGTCTATGTGAGTTCTTTTCTATATATAAATGCACAAAATTTAATTACTGAAGCAAATTATATAAATTTTAATTGTGTAGAGTTTGGAGACTTTTTGCGAAAAGGCTTTTTTAAAGAGATATCGTTAGAATTTCTATAAAAATATAAGTTACATCGGTTCAGTGCCTGTTNAGGCAGCAAGTGTAATGCACAGTAGATTAAGTTCCTGGAATCACGTTTAATTGCTATTGTTCAACAGAGATAATGACAGAGTTATGGAACAGAGTCAAAGTGAAGCAGAATACTAATTTACTGGTGCTTTAGTTAATATCAGTGAGTGTTTGCAATGAAATCAAAGGCAATTAAAAGTTAATTGTGTAACACATTTATTTTACTTTCGAGAATTTTTATTTTTGGAGACTTTGAATTTTTTGAATTACGTCTATGTGTGTTTTTTTTTAATATATAAATGCACAAAATTTAATTACTGAAGCAAATTATATAAATTTTAATTGTGTAGAGTTTGGAGACTTTTTGCGAAAAGGCTTTTTTAAAGAGATATCGTTAGAATTTCTATAAAAATATAAGTTACATCGGTTCAGTGCCTGTTAATCATGCTTCAATGCATGCACATACTTGCTCTAAATCCAGCTAAAGGACTCACCACCACATTCATCTACATACATACGTTATCGCCACAATTCTTGGCATGCGCCATTCACATGGTTTATCACGGTTATCAAATATTCATATCTTAATAGGTACATAAGTGCCGACTGTAACAAGTCGCCCGCCTATTAGATTTGTAAATGTGATATCACAACAAACAGTCAACTTCTAAATAAATACTAAAAAAAAAACAATAACGAAAGCATGCGGCGACGATCAATTTTTAAGTGTCATAAAATAAAAATGTCAAGTATGGCTGGAATTTTTGACAAATTTTTAAGGTCATATAAAAAGCATTAGTAATAAATAGCAGCTACGACTATAGCAACGAGACGAATATCATCGTTTGCGATTTTAAAGCTCGCTAACAAAAACACCATGCAAATATGTACATATGTATCTATGTATTTATGTATATGCATGTGGTCGCATAGTAAATTGCTATGGAGTTTTATCAATTTACCATTGCGTAGCAAGTTTTACTACGTTTTGTTTGTATTTGCCAGTTCCTTCACTCTAGTACGCTAATTTTTGAATTCGTTTTTTCGTTAACATTTGATTACTTTATCACATGTTTATAAAAGATTTATTCAAGTGCGGGTATTACGATTTATTTTCAATCACACCTTCGGCCCTTTCTACACTTGCTCGTCACTTTTGTAATGTTTTGTCTGCATATGTACATACATATATTTTGCGAACGAAAACAATGCCTCAGCTTTGCATACACACATACACAGAGTTTTAAGACTACAAATAAGTGCAAAAATCATTGACTTTTTATTGCTACTGATAGCTGTCCATGCAATGTGCGGAAAGGAATTTTGTTTTGGTTTGAAAATTTTTATCGCTTTTATCACTAATGTTTTGTTTGTTTACTTAGTAGTAGTAGTAGGATTAGTAATTGAAGGCTATTTGTTTTAGTGGCATATACAAAGCGACATCAGCTACAGAAAATGAGTGTGATTAGAAGCAATTGGTTATCTAAAATGACCAGGTTTCCAGGTTCAACAGAGTTAACATAGGATTTGTTAGTTTTGAAAACTAAACTAAAAAAAAAAATTGTTGTTTATGGGCATTATAAAGGTTTCTCGTCCTCTTATGTGCGTTTTCTAGAGATGTAGAGCTTGGAGACTTTTCTTAAAAATGCATTTTGCAAAAAACATGCTTTTTTGTAGTTCTGTATGTTGAAAACATAATTTTTGCAAAGTGGAGAGTTTGGAGACTTTTTTCAAATTCGTATTTTAAAAGTTTTACACACTTTTGGGACATAGCAAATGTTTTAGCACTTCTATTAAGTTGAATACTCAAAACTATGTATATACATATGTAAATATTAAAAATAAAATATTTTGTGTCTGATCTTTAATGCATCATATCAAAATTTTGAAAAACTTGTCTTACATATGTATGTACAATCATATTTAAGATAAATTTTCTTAGCTTTAATTCACATATAGACAACTCACTGCTTAAATTATTTCATAAAAAGTTTAATTGAAATAATCAGGCCACCTAGGCTAATTAATTGGCTTAGTCCGATTCGGCATAGAATGTTAAACTTTAATACACGCGACCTAGAAAATCGCATGAATGACAGACAGGCACTAGTGGCTATTATGACAACGAATGAAAACCGCAAACCAAATATATAGTTAAACTTCACCTGCTGCAATGTATGTATATTTTTATTTACATATGAGCATGCGTGGGTTAAGCGCGCCGCATAAGCTTGCGATAATCGGACAGCGAACCAGTATTAGTTGTATGAGTTTTTTTTTTTTAACTGACAACCGTAATAATAAAAATAATTTTTATTGAATTAAGAGGTTTAAAATAACGCACTCGTCCAGAAGTACACATGTATATATGTAAGAGCTCACTGCTGCAAAACCGCAACCAACATTTTAAGTGACAGATGGCGCCAATGCCTCGCGTTGGCGGCGGTAAAGCAACTCTACAATTAATTGTAGTTATTAACTTTACATATACTTTATAGCTTTATTTTTGTGTTTTTTTCATATGAATTGACATAAATCGACATTCCTGCAATTTAATAAAGAATTTATTAATTTATGACTCTAAATCAACATTAATAAAATATTAAATTACCATAATTTAATTAAGTTGCTACAAAGCACAACAAATACGACATCCCTGACCAAATAAACAAACAAAAAGGAGGCTTGCGTTCAAGCTTATTGAGAGATGGAGGTGCCCCAAAACAAAAAGGTTAGCCTTAAAAGCCAATTCAATTAAAAAATTGCAAGCGAAAAAAAGATTTCCAATGAAAATTTATTGCTCCCTTGGCAGAACGGCGACAGGGGACAGATCGACAGACAAATGAGTCGGCAAGCAGATGAACTTGAGTTGTAGTTATCGAAACGTTTGTTAACTCGCGCATGGGTACATACATACAATACGCACTGCATATATATGGTATGTACATAAACAGTTGCGTGAGCAAATCTACTCAGTGATGATTATTTATGACTACGACTATCAATAAAACCCAATGTCTCTATGCGGGTGGTATTTAAAAGTGAACTGAATATTTAAATTAAGTAAGTGATTTTTTGCTTATTCAATTTGCGTGGCATACTTGAAACGTAATGAAAGATTGTGTGGTGCTTATAAACAAATTTCTTTTACATATTAAGGAAAAGATATGGAAAAAAACTCACGTGCAAATGCTATGTTAGCTGCTGTCACCTTGCCGACGTCATTTATATGTAGCGCTCGGTCGTTGTGGTTCGTTAGCATTAAGACATAGTCTTTTGTTTTTGTATAGGCTGGAACTACAAAGGCAAACATTACCTGAAAAGAAAAGTTAAGAGTAAAATTAGCATTTCTATTGTACACTAAAAGAGTAAGAGTAGTAATAACTAGTTACAGTTTGGAAAATAATGTTTTTCTGCCATTGTAGAGTTTTAGAGACTTATTAAAAAATACCTAAGAATTGCTTAAATATAACTTTCTAGCACTTTTAAAACATTGGCGACTTTCAAAAAATTTTGGAGAGTGTGGAGACTTTGCAAAATTAATTAAAAATACTTTTCAAGACACACAAACACGCTTAAATCGCTTTGTAAAAGCGTCATATTATATGCATGTGCATTTAGAATTTTGGAGACTTTTAACATTTATTTTAAAATGAGTACATACAGCTTCTAAACTTATTTAAAACACCTATTCCCTTCACTTTTCATGCGAAATTGCAGTTACATGTACATACATACATACATATGCATGTATGTGTTTTAGAAACATTCTTATGCAAAACAAACAATATCGACTGCAAACTTGTTGCCAACCAATCTCATAGTACAATGTTGTTCAAATATTTATTAACTTTCAGTTTCTCTTCATCACGCCTTTGTACTTAATCCCTCATTGAGATAACCCCAATTTATCGCATCTCATAGATTATAAAATGACTTTCATTAGCATTAAGCATTCCAGGCGCTATCGTAAAACACGTTCTTAACAATATCGTTCTCGCTAGTGTCCGGCTATGGGTCCATGAATCGTGGGTATTACGCACTGATATATGTACAATAAAAATGCAAATATTGTCATCGGCGCGCACATTTAATAGCAAGTTTATTAGTCATTATTTGCATAGCCGACAATTAAAATGCAATTCATTGTTTTTTTATTTTGCTTTTTGCAAGAACACCACAAAAACTGTGCACACAAACAGACCAAAAACCATACAATACACGTATGTATGTATGTATGTATGTAGCTAGTGAAAAATGTCACAAAAATTAACGAAGATGAAATTCATTGCGGTAACAGCAACTGGCTGAACGCTCACTTTGTACAAGTTTGAGGAACAAAAGCACAGCACATGCTTGTTGGGTATGGCAAAAATTTCCCACCATAATAATAATTATTAAAAGTGGTGAAGAAACTTGCCAAATAATGCTTATGAAATCGAGCAAAAATTGGTGATGATGACATCGATATAGTGAGGCATGAGAGTGAACGCCATCTGGCACACAATGCTGGTGAGTTCGCCACGCATGCGCCGCTAAGGTGGTGGTGACGGCCTTTGTTATTAATGCGTATCAAAAATGCAGATGCTAGAGATAAAACCAAAATGATACTGAGAACAGCTGAATAAACACTCAGTTCATACTATCATAAAGCTTTTAATAAAATAAGTAAAGCAAATCTGTGCGTATAAACTATTTTTGTATGTATGTGTTTGAAAAAGGAGTGCAGTCACATGCAGGTGCCTGCGCTCAGAACGGAAACACTTGTATCTCTGTGCTTCCTTACAAGCCGGCGAAGAGTCAGTTATTTGATCCCATGCATAATAAAAATAAAATAAGAACTTATATTGAAATATGCGAAAATCACGCAACCGCAGCGCACCGACCGCAAATCGGCATGCAAGTGCATATGCACCTAAGCTTGGCTGCAGTAGCGTGCCAAATGCAAAATATACACTACTGCCATACATATGTATGTATGTACATAGGTACGCCCATTTGCTGGCTTCTACATACCTTGCATGAACGTATGTATATATGTTTGAATGTGCGCATTACTTTTGCTGTCTTTCAAAGCCACTCATGTTGCAGGTGTGTGGTTTTTTGGCAGGCAATGCAATATTTTGCTGACAAGTGTGACGTGTCGGATTATAATGTCATATCAATTTTGTATGCCTTCACTCGCGACAAATAAAAAAAAATGTACCCGCTCTTTGTCTACTGCTATGCAAAAATATGAAAATATGCGCAAACATTTCAGTTACTTTGCATGCATAATGGAAAGGTGTAAGCTGAAGTCTAAATGTTGTTAGCCAAAGTAAAAACGGTAAAGTCGAAAAAATCAGTTTCACGTGCATTAAATACATGGATGTGAAATGAAAGCAGGCGATCGCGCACGCAGATTGGCAGTCGCACTGGCGTACATACATACATATGTACATATGTACTCATAAACAGTTGATTTATTTCATGACACTTGAGTTGAGCTTAAATGTATATCAAGTTTAGCGTTGTTACTATATTTAGAGAGCTTTTATTAATTTTTAGTAAACTCTACAAACTCTCCACCATGGAAATTGTTTCTTTATAAAACCAGAATATGTTTCTTTATAAAACCTTAGTGTCTTCAGACATTGTTCTCGTTATTTTGGGCATTTTTAAAAGTCTCCAAACCCCTAAAAACACCAAAAATGGTTACAAGTGCAGAAAAAAAGTTTAATATTAAAGTTAAAGTACTGCTGTGTTTTCACCAATGCATTTTTAAAAGTCTCCAAACTTTCCACATACATATTTTTTCAATTGTCTGTGCTAGTAAAAATGTAACCATTTCAAGCAAGTCTTTATTTGCATACTTCGTTTTCAAACTCTTTACCAAAACATAATCAAAAGGATTATTCTGCGATGTAGACGACTACATGCGACCTGCAAACCTACAGCATAATCCTTTGTAGCGCCGCTACACAGAAGTGACACCTAGTGCATATATACCGTGCACATTTACACAGGTACCTATGTACATACATACATAATAATGTACTAACATTAGGGCGGGTAAATTTTTTTTGACTATGCGCCTATATTATAGAAGGATTCTACGTGTAATTCTAAAGTTTGTCTAATTGCGAAAATAGGTTTTCATGAAAATGCGAAAATTTTCACTGGTGCGACCTCGGGTGGAAATTTTAAGTAAAAGTGCAGAAATGAATTATTCATACCAAAAAACCCCTTATAGCACCTCTTTGCCACACTAAAGCCAAATAGGTTTCTTAGCTATTTTCGCAATTTTGCGAACTCCAAATTTATTTTATGGTTTTCATCGGCAAATTTGCTTAGAATTATACATATAATCCTTCTTTGCTACAGGCGCATGGTCGAAAAAATCTCCCATACAAATTGACCCGCCCTAATGTACATAGTGCATCTAGCTGACTAGTAGGCTAGGAGTATTTATATGAATACTGCAACTCTGTTCGACTTCGTTATGCCAATAAACCACTGCAGTAGCAACAACAATTAGGCACAACTGTAGGGGCTATGAACGACAACTATGTGTGTAACTGGCAACGGCGACCTACGACTTGCTGTCCTGCCTTTGCATCAACACAGCGACACAATTGTTATGGCATTAAATGTGAATTTATTGAAATGCACTCATGTCGAAAATAGATTTGCCAATGCCGCATGATGCCATCACCGCATTGTCGCAATAACGCAAATTATTATTATTGTTGCCTTGGTGTTGGTATCTGCGTTTGTGCCAGCAGCTGCTGTTGAATGGCAAACGGCAGCCAACATAAGCCAATAAAAATAAAATCCTACCGACATAGACACAAAACGGCACTCACAAAGGCTTGCATCTCTGGACCCTACAATAGACGAAGGTAGATGTGTTATAGCTTTTGTTGGTTATGCCGCTATTGNGTTGGTATCTGCGTTTGTGCCAGCAGCTGCTGTTGAATGGCAAACGGCAGCCAACATAAGCCAATAAAAACAAAATCCTACCGACATAGACACAAAACGGCACTCACAAAGGCTTGCATCTCTGGACCCTATAATAGACGAAGGTAGATGTGTTATAGCTTTTGTTGGTTATGCCGCTATTGCTTATGACACTATGCTGCTCATGTGCACTCGTCCCACTCACATGCGAAGGGACGATTTAACTGGCGCTTTAATGTTGCCTTTTAAACGGTCGATTTAAATTAAGGCCACTTATAACTGAACGCTTAAAAGAAGCACCGTGCCTTAGCAAAATTTGCATGCCATAAATGAATGGCTATAAATTGAATTTAGGATCAATTTTCAATTAAAACATGCGTAAAAAATGGTGGTTATGGAGGCACGATACAAAAAAAACTCAAAAAAGAAATAANATTTAAATTAAGGCCTCTTATAACTGAACGCTTAAGGAAGCACCGTGCCTTAGCAAAATTTGCATGCCATAAATGAATGGCTATAAATTGAATTTAAGATCAATTTTCAATTAAAACATGCGTAAAAAATGGTGGTTATGGAGGCACGATACAAAAAAAACTCAAAAAAGAAATAAATTGCCGGGCATATTTCCAACGAAATATGATGCGGCTCAGTATGTGCTTATTTGAGTCGAGGTAGATAAAGAAAATTATCAGTAACAAATATGGCCAGCTCGAAAAACTAAGCCCACTAAATTGATAAAAAAAAGCGAGTGAAAATTGTTGAAGACAAAGGATTTTTAGATTTCAACATATCAAAATTTTAAACGAACTGTCTGCCGAAAGTACTCATTTCCTCTACTATTTTTCTGTGGAGACAGTATTTTATTTTTGCCCAACAATTCTTACATCACCTCTCCTTTACTGCGATATAAATGGCCGCCTACCACTTAAAGGCAGCTTCTTTTGGACGCCTTTGAAGCCACTAAGTCCCAGCCTAAAGCCGTCACCTTAAAACAGCAAACCCTCAAACAACTTCTGGTTGCCCTATTGTCCTGTTAAACTAGTGCATTCTCGCTCACTCTCGTGTGCTAGTTCCATGCGTATCTATAATTGATTTGCACCACGCGCAAACCGGGTTGGCTTATGTAAAGGCTTAGGCATTGTGATTGATTACAGCGAAAATAAATATATGTATATGTAAATATATATTTTTTGTTATATGTTTACGAAATATCACTAACCTTTATTGCGTTTATTTGTATGTTCGAATAAGTACTTGATATTTATTTTAAGCCGGTACAAAGTACAATAAAAATTCTTTTCTGTAAGTAAGATTTGTTCTAATACTTGGGAGGCTTTGCGGGCTTTTGGCATTAATGTATGGAAGTACTATCAACGAGTCCATCAAGTAAGCGATCGAATTTTGTATGATTAGACGTTTCAAAATCATGACCTTAACCAGATCGGGTGCCGTTGAAAAATTATAGTGAAAACAACTATTTGTACATATGTATGTCTGCCAAGCCAAGTTTAATGACGTTATAGCCTGCAGATTTAGAGTTTTCCATGAATATATTTTTTTGGCTAATAATTACATCGTTCGATAGCTGTGTGCTTAAGATTTCTTCCGCATATCGTCCGCGCATAGCTCCTGTCTTTTAATAACTCCGAAGGCGAATACTAAGACCCATGCATGTCAGGCATTTGATGGTCTTTAATATTCGCCGTCGAAAGTAAGAAACTTTGATGGCAAATATTTACCGCCACTGCGCAAAATTAAAGTGAAATTGTTTTGAAAAATTACACTCAAAGGCTTCCACACCTTGATAACACAGTAAATTTTTGTGTCTTGCTCTAGAGCAATTTGTAAGCCATTTTGAGTGGTTGGGTATCTTAGCGTAGTGGTATCTTAGCGAATTTTTAAAAGAAGTATAAGTCAGTGAATTACATATACACATACATAAATATGTACATATTAACATTAAGGTGGTCCAAAAATGCTTGCGAAAAATTTAAAACGCAAATTTAGTGCTCTCACCCAAGATTTTTGTTCTATCGAAAAAATATACCCGTGTTTTTTCCAAAAATATTTAGAGGTCGCTCAAAGTTTTCGATGTATTTGATATGGAAACGGTATATAATTCTTGAAAATCAATATTTATCAATCGGAAAACTATGTTTCTCTTCAGAAAACTTTTTATAACAATACCCGATTGTTTATTTTACCATTGTTTAATCATTTTTATGGGTCCCCGCATTGCATTTTGTGGGGACCTAAAAAATTATTTATTATTAAACATTTTTTAAATAAACCATTGGTTATTATTTTTGAAAGTCTGCTGAAGAGACAAAAAGTTTCCGATATAAACATATTGATTGTCAAGAATTTTATATAATTTCTACGAAAAAAATTTTTTTCTACAGAAAATACCTTTATATATTTTTTTTTTTTTTTTCAAAATAAAAAAGGGTATAATTGGTTTTGGTATAGAACAATGATAGCATTAAAATTCCAACTTTACTTTTTTTTTACCACCCTAATGTACATAAGTACATATCTGTGAATCTGTAAGTTCATGGGCGATAATGAGAGGTCTTAAGCTAGTATTAGTGCATTTTGCCCAACCTTGATGATATAAACCGCGTACAATTTTAGTAAATTNATTTTTTCTATAGAAAATACCTTTATATATTTTTTTTTTCAAAATAAAAAAGGGTATAATTGGTTTTGGTATAGAACAATGATAGCATTAAAATTCCAACTTTACTTTTTTTTTTTTACCACCCTAATGTACATAAGTACATATCTGTGAATCTGTAAGTTCATGGGCGATAATGAGAGGTCTTAAGCTAGTATTAGCGCATTTTGCCCAACCTTGATGATATAAACCGCGTACAATTTTAGTAAATTGTTGTTCAAACCGATTAGATATTTTAAAAGTGTAAGAATACAAACATTAAAAATTTCCCTAGAATTATTCAACATTTTTATAGTATGTTTTTCTTTCTTTCAGTTGAAAACAAACATTATTTTGAATTTCTACACAACTTTAATTAATGTTCAAGAATCTCTAAAAAAAACTCACCACTTTGCAAGTAAGTATAAGAACGCGTTCATTTTCATAACTTAAGTATGCTTAGTTAATTTTGTACAAATTCCCATTTTTTTTAAAGTCTCCAAAATCTTGATTACGCAAATAATAATGAATAAATTGAGAAAANCTCACCACTTTGCAAGTAAGTATAAGAACGCGTTCATTTTCATAACTTAAGTATGCTTAGTTAATTTTGTACAAATTCCCTTTTTTTTAAGTCTCCAAAATCTTGATTACGCAAATAATAATGAATAAATTGAGAAAATTAACTGATGTGTTGAAAAAACTTCAAGAATTCGGCAATTGTTTGAAGTCCCTAAAGTCTTCAGGAAAAAATTTTAAAATTTTTTTTGAACTTTAGTTTCTGGAAAAAGAATTAACCTGTTTGATATTTGTTTTGCTACATTTTTAATTGAATATTTACCGACAGTTTATTATGCATATATGTACCTATCCCTAATGCCAATACCCAACAAAGCCTAAAGCCCTAAAATTCGTTCCGCATGCAAGCAAACACCCGCGAGGTGACACAATATCCGCCACTTGCGACACTTTGTAATTACAAAATACATACATTTAAAAGCACTAGTACACTAATTAAAATAATCTATGACAACGCAACAACATTTATGACCTAACGATTGTCAAATGAGGCATATAAATCAAAATTCATATGTAAATTTCATTTTAAGAAATCTGTCAATTGAGCATGGCAAAATGAAGCAGNTGAACTTTAGTTTCTGGAAAAAGAATTAACCTGTTTGATATTTGTTTTGCTACATTTTTAATTGAATATTTACCGACAGTTTACATGTAGGTATATGTATGTATGCATTTACCGAGTTTCATTCCAATTATTATTATTATTTTATTTAAAAAAAAATACTCCTTCATTCGTGGCGTCTTGTTTGAAAATCATCTCTTTTATGCACTCAAATTTTCGACAATAATCCATATCAAAAATATGTATGTATTTATGCATATATGTACCTATCCCTAATGCCAATACCCAACAAAGCCTAAAGCCCTAAAATTCGTTCCGCATGCAAGCAAACACCCGCGAGGTGACACAATATCCGCCACTTGCGACACTTTGTAATTACAAAATACATACATTTAAAAGCACTAGTACACTAATTAAAATAATCTATGACAACGCAACAACATTTATGACCTAACGATTGTCAAATGAGGCATATAAATCAAAATTCATATGTAAATTTCATTTTAAGAAATCTGTCAATTGAGCATGGCAAAATGAAGCAGCAAAGTAAAGAGAGCAAAGAATCTCTAAAAAAAAAATTAAAAGCTTTTCCAAACAAAATCTACTTAAAATCTTAGAAAAAACGATCCATGGCTCAGCTTAAATACATTTCATTTAATCGCTCCAAAACTCGCCGCTCACATCGTAAATAAGTAAGTGTCACAATAAAAATAACACTTAGCCGAGCATGAAAACCAAGATTACGCTTAAAATTCGAAAGACATAATGTAATGCCCCAAAAGCTACAAGCAAAAATAAAATAAACACCAGCTTCAGCGCTGTTGTCTTACGCTTTATCAGGCGCGAGTAGAACCAATTTCCAGCCGTATGGACGCCAGCAAGCTCGACAAGTGCATGGGGTTTTTAATTATAAGTTTGAAAGCTAGAATTATTTTTTGTGTTGTTGTTGTTGTTACATTTGAGTGTTATGTTGAGTTTTGTTTTTATATAATTTAGTGTTTTTATTTCATAGTTTGCTTGTGACCTCTTTGACACAGTTCAATGGCGTTTAGTCCATCTTTTTTCGAGCATGCATATACTTGCAGTTATCTGATCGAATGTAGTTTTTTTTCATATTTCGTTTTGTGCATTGGTATCTGGCAAAAGCGACAAATAACAGAAGACTAAGTGGATCTGTTGAGTATTGTTGACAATCTGTTTATTTAAGTGTTTTTTTTTTGTTTTCTCATTAAATATAATGATCGATCATTGGTGCTGGTAATTTTGTACGCCAGATGTGCTTGAACGATCTTTCTAAAGATATTTTTTTTTCAAACCTAATAATTCAATTTTTCAGGCGTGTAGAAAGAATGCTTGGTGACTCTAAAAACTTCTCATGCTCGAGGTCAATTTTTTCGCTTTAATTCGTGCGCATATGCCTACGCAATAAGTATATTTATGATTCATAAATTTTCTTTGAAGTAATTGTTTTCTACTCACCATAAGTAAAATAGTATTCTTGGCATTGAGCGTTAACTNTAATTTTGTACGCCAGATGTGCTTGAACGATCTTTCTAAAGATATTTTTTTTTCAAACCTAATAATTCAATTTTTCAGGCGTGTAGAAAGAATGCTTGGTGACTCTAAAAACTTCTCATGCTCGAGGTCAATTTTTTCGCTTTAATTCGTGCGCATATGCCTACGCAATAAGTATATTTATGATTCATAAATTTTCTTTGAAGTAATTGTTTTCTACTCACCATAAGTAAAATAGTATTCTTGGCATTGAGCGTTAACTGGGGTAACCTGTAATTAAGCAGAAATAAATATAGTTATTAAAAATGTAAACCAAAAAGAGCAACAACAAATATTATAATTAAACAATGCATCCACTGAATGATGAATACTCAATGGAATAACNCGACAAATAACAGAAGACTAAGTGGATCTGTTGAGTATTGTTGACAATCTGTTTATTTAAGTGTTTTTTTTTTGTTTTCTCATTAAATATAATGATCGATCATTGGTGCTGGTAATTTTGTACGCCAGATGTGCTTGAACGATCTTTCTAAAGATATTTTTTTTTTCAAACCTAATAATTCAATTTTTTTTTGTAGAAAGAATTCTTGGTGACTCTAAAAACTTCTCATGCTCGAGGTCAATTTTTTCGCTTTAATTCGTGCGCATATGCCTACGCAATAAGTATATTTATGATTCATAAATTTTCTTTGAAGTAATTGTTTTCTACTCACCATAAGTAAAATAGTATTCTTGGCATTGAGCGTTAACTGGGGTAACCTGTAATTAAGCAGAAATAAATATAGTTATTAAAAATGTAAACCAAAAAGAGCAACAACAAATATTATAATTAAACAATGCATCCACTGAATGATGAATACTCAATGGAATAACTACATACATACATACATATGTACATATGAACACCAGTTCAGCGGTTAGCTACCATCACCTGTTGACAGTCGTATGAACATTCATGCATAGCATAGATCGGTATGTGTAATAGGAAATCATACTCAGCCGCATTTAACTAGATTCATTTGTCCCATGAGACGTCAAAACAATTGAATCATTTTTTAAACGAAAATCGTGAGCTCACTTCGTTTTTAAAATGCTTAAATTGTATTATTGAAAATAGGAGTAGCACAAAAAATTCTGTGCAATTAATTGCTAGCGCTGACTTATGGCTTGACTACTTTCAAACAAAAAAGTAAGAAAAAAATGACACTCTCTGCTTACCTAGCACTCGAAAACGTTTGGAATTTGAAATGAACGTTTGAGTGTTGTGCCTTGCTTCTATGTAAGCTTAAATTTACGACTTGAAATTTTCATAAACCGTAAATTATTATCAGTAATAAATAACTGATTTTTTAATATGCAAATTTTCGTTTGAGAATTGAGTGGCATACAATGACATGGCGATTTATTGCGTTGTGGGTGGATAGTGCTGAATAAAGTACGACCTGGGGCTAAGGTTCTAAACAGAGTGGAAGTGATATATGTATGTATGTATATATTTTCACCCTCGTTGTAAAGGCCTTATTTGAGAAATTTGAAAAAAGTTTACAGGAGAAGCAAACACTTTTTAAATTTATATAAGATATATTCTAAAATAAGATCCTTCAACTTTCAAAATATTGCCTATTGGTCTTTCGTTTATTTATTATTTTTTATAAAATTATAGCTCATTATCTAACAAAAACGCTATAAATTAATATTTCAGACTTTGTGTAAAAATTATAAAAATTTTGCAAAATTGCATTTAAATATCAGATGATTTTTTAGAATTTTGAGTATGTAGTTTGATAGCCCATTAAATTTTAGTACAATGAAGTGTAAGTTTTAAGTTGGTTAAAAAAGCGCGTTGATTTTTGGCAATTTTTTAAAGCATTTTTTCCATATAAAGCAGGTTTGAAATTTTTTTTGTTCAGAATAAAAATTATCAAAAATCAACGCGCTTTTTTAGGGCTATAAAACTGCATACTCAAAAAAATTCTAAAAAAAAAAGATTTTTAAAAAGTTTAAAATTTATATGCAATTTCGTAAAATATTTATAATTTTTGCACAAAGTTTGAAATATGAATTTATGTGGTTTTCGTTAGATAATGAGCNTCTAAAATAAGATCCTTCAACTTTCAAAATATTGCCTATTGTTCTTTCGTTTATTTATTATTTTTTATAAAATTATAGCTCATTATCTAACAAAAACGCTATAAATTAATATTTCAGACTTTGTGTAAAAATTATAAAAATTTTGCAAAATTGCATTTAAATATCAGATGATTTTTTAGAATTTTGAGTATGTAGTTTGATAGCCCATTAAATTTTAGTACAATGAAGTGTAAGTTTTAAGTTGGTTAAAAAAGCGCGTTGATTTTTGGCAATTTTTTAAAGCATTTTTTCCATATAAAGCAGGTTTGAAATTTTTTTTGTTCAGAATAAAAATTATCAAAAATCAACGCGCTTTTTTAGGGCTATAAAACTGCATACTCAAAAAAATTCTAAAAAAAAAAGATTTTTAAAAAGTTTAAAATTTATATGCAATTTCGTAAAATATTTATAATTTTTGCACAAAGTTTGAAATATGAATTTATGTGGTTTTCGTTAGATAATGAGCTATAGTTTTATAAAAAAAAATAATAATAATCAAATAAACAAATGAATACTTTCATTATACATATGTACTTTCATTCTTCGAAAGGCTTGTACTACTTATGTACACCAAAAATCGATTTAAGATTCTCAAAAACTTTCATTTCTAAACAGTTCAGCCTACGTTTTTCCCCATCCATTTCTTTAATTTTATTTTTCTTCGAACTACTGCCTGCATTTTTTCAACCTTCATCGGTTTAGTGTCACAAATGTTTCCCTTTTATTTCGCTTACTTTCACGCCACTTCCTCCAAACACTTCTAACTATTGACACTTCCGCTTGTGTAGTCTACAGCTTCCACTTTACAGTTACATTTTGCTTTAAAAAAGTGTTCATGCAACTAAGTATGTATCTACATAAGTATTGACAGTTAGCACTCAAATTGCAATGCACTCGAACTGTCAAATTCCGCTGCTTAAGTGCGCATAATTAAGTATGATAAAGAAAAGATTTCCGGTACAAAATATGACTGATCGTTTTTTTGCGCCTTTTCCATAATTTTCTGAATTTCTGTTTTTTTTTTAGTAGTGGGTAGCACACAATATATAATACAAAATGCTACTTCATTATTGTCTGAGATGTGTTGAAATGATCATAAATTTTTTATTGGATCTCGTGCATCTTAATTTTTAGCCTCATTTTTCACTGCCACTTTAAACAGAGTCCATTGTCATTTAAATTTTTTCACATTATTAAGTATCATCTGCCACATTTCATTAACCTCTTACACAGTGTGTATGCCTGCTCATGTGGTCTTCTTCTTCCTCCATCTCATACTTAATATTATAATTAAGTGTATGCAATGTTGCCAATGCCGCAAAGGCAATAAAAATATTAATTTTTTTATGGAATTTTTGTTAGCCAGAAACCAGAAAAGAGTGCATTGTTAAATGCCATACTTGCCGTCTCACAGACTATTCGAATAAATGCGGCAGCACTTTTCTTTATGTACAAGTGTCTACTTGTCTTGTCTCACTTCGACTAGGGGCTGTTGTTAATAGTATCGATTGAAATCTTTTGTTTTCCCCACTAACACTTTTTTGTTGTTGTTATGGCTTTCGTTTTTTTTTTTTTGTTTTAGCTATTGTTATAAAATTGCTGCAATATGCTGCTTACTATGTTGTTGTTGTACTATGTTGGCACTATTAAAATTGTTAAGTCGTTTTCTAGGTTACTTCAAGTGGGAGATCGTAGTCTCTCATATAGGCATTGAAAAGTGTAAGTGTTGGAGGAGTTAGAAAGCTTAAACTATTTAAATTTCGATGAATAGGCAAATTTCGCCGTACATTAGTGAAATATACTTCGTCTTCAGATCTTAAAATCTAACATTTTACTGCCGAAAAAAATTTCTCCGCCAGGATTTCGCTTTAACACATGCTCATTCTCCCTTTTGTACATTCGCACGTACTTTTTTAAAAACGACAGGAAACACGTGCAAAGAATATTCAACCAAAGATTCCTTATAACTCAACAGCATAAGAATTTTTTGCAAAAGTACAAAAAATAATCGCCGCAAAGGTCATTGATTTCAGCTTAGGAACGCAACCAACACTCCAAGTCAGCCGAAGAAGAACCATTTGAAATGCTCGCTGAAAAAAAGGTAAAAAGGCATATGGCCTCAGTGTTAGAAAGCGAATGAACATGCTGAGAGGGTTGCAGCACAGCAAACCGACTACGAAAAAAAACCGCATCGAAGCGAGTCATACTTGGCTGATGGAGGTAGGGTAGGTTAGTTGCCCAGCTAGCGAACGTGCTGCTCAAGGTACGCTCATTCTACATAAAACGTACGTAAATGTATTTGCGGAAAAGGTAGTGCCCAGAGGGCAAATAGTATAGACTGACTAAGCGCTACCATAGCCACAAAGAGTGCGGCGTACAGTGGTCTGAGAGTGGCAGAAAGTCCTAATTTCGAAATATGTGGAAATATCCAACTAAGTGGTTGACTCGACACACTAAACATGTCTAGGATTTTTTCCAGAGAAAAATTACTCTTGCAATTAGCGAAGGACTCAGGAAGTCGGTGTTGTATGAATGGAACTGCCATGCCCACTACATTAGGGGGCGGATATAGTAACTTTTATCCGACTGAAATGAAATTCGGTTTGTAACTTGGATTAAGCTAAGAAGACATATATCTGAAATATAATGAAAATCGGTCAACTGCCACGCCCACCAGCTATCAGAGTTTTGTATTTTAATGTGGCAAGGATTAGTAACGAACCTCCAAAATAGCAAAACTATGGTGCCAGATATATTTTTGCATAAAAACCCAGAAATATAAAAAAATATGTGAATTGGCGACCAGCACGGCCTCCCTCCTTGGCACTAGTGGGCGGCAATGAGAAATTTGTTTGTACCTTAC